GAGAACAAACTTAAAAACAAAGGATGATTATGGTATTATTACTGAGTCATGGAAGTATTTCTGGGCAGATTTTTCCAGCGGCTGGAAGGCAATCTCTGGCTCTGTAACATCTCGGTTGGGGAAATAGAAAGCAGACTAGAAAAGAAATCCAAAAATTTTCCACTGGTGTCTTCATCCTTAAATATCCCTCTCCTTTTTGGTAACTTTGAAGGAGATTTTTTGGGTCAACTTTTTGTTTCTTTGTAAGAACTGCAAGCTTTTGTTTGAGAGCAGCTGGAATTTGTGTTTCAGTCAAGTATGTCCTCGTGAGCCCTTAGCTGGGGCCTGAAGGCATTTACCTGTCTTAGTCTCAGTGCTCACCTGTTCACATTGACTAGTTCAGAAAGTCTTTGAGTAAACTGTTTGATCTATATTTTTTCTTCCATCATTTTCTAATTTTACTAGCATGGTGATGTTACTCTAACAGAAAGCGTTGGAATGCATTCTTCCTTTTGCTATTCTTAGTTTTATTATGTTTTAGGTGAAAGTTTACAGCGCAAATTAGTTTTCAGCACCCTCCCTCTTTCCCACTTACCTTGGGTTCTCCATGTCCATTTATCCAGTTTACCTATCCCTTCCTGTCTTCTCATCTTTAGTTTTGGGCAAGTGTTGACCGTTTGATCTTATATACTTGACTGAACTAAGAAGCATGTTCCTCACATGTGTTACTGTCTGTTTTATAGAGCTGTCTAATCTTTGGCTGGAAGGTGGACTTCAGGAGTGCTTTCAGTTCTGAGGTAGTAGGGTGTCCAGGGGCCATAGTCATGGGGGTTCCTCCAGTCTCTGTCAGACCAGTAATTCTGGTCTTTTTTTGTGAATTTGAGTTTTGTTCTACATTTTTCTCCCACTCTGTCTGGGACCCTCTATTGTGATCCTTGTCAGAGCAGTCGGGTGGTGGTAGCTGGGCACCATCTAGTTCTTCTGGTCTCAAGTTGGTGGAGGCTGTGGTTCATGAGGTCCATTAGTCCTTTGGACTAATATTTTCCTTGTGTCTTTGGTTTTCTTCAATCTCCTTTGTTCTGGAGGGGACGGGGCCAATAGATGTATCTTAGATAGCTGCTTGCAAACTTTTAAGACCCCAGATGCTACTCACCAATGTAGGATGCAGAATATTTTCTTTATGAATATGTTATACCAGCTGACCTAGATGACCCCCCAAGACTATGGTCCCCAGCCCCCAGCCCCAGCAGGTTGGTCCCTCAGAGTGTTTGGATGTATCTAGGAAGCTTCTGTGACTTTGCCTTGGCCAAGTTGTGCTGCCTTCCTCTATATTGTGTGTTGTCTTTCCCTTCACCAAAGTCAACTTGCCTACAATTTAGTTAGTGATTTCCCCTCCTCACCCCTCCCCTCCCTGGTAACCATCAAAGGTTGTTTTTTTCTGTGTGTAAACATTTCCTTGGGTTTTTATAATAGCGATCTCATACAATATTTGTCCTTTTGTGATTGACTCATTTCACTCAGCATAATGCCTTCCAGATTCGTCATTTCTCAGATACATCATTGTTCTTTATTGTTGTGTGGTATTCCATTGTGTGTATGTACCATAATTTGTTTATTCATTCATCTGTTGATGGGCATTGTCATGGTTTGAATTATGTCCCCCAAAAATGTGTGTATCAATTTGGCTAGGCCATGATTCCTGGTACTGTTGATTTTCCTGTATGTTGTAAACCTGCCTCTATGATGTTAATGAGGGAGGATGGGTGGCAGTTGTGTTAGTAAGGCAGGACCTGATCTACAAGACTGGATTGTGTCCTGAGGCAATCTCTTGAGGTATAAAAGACAGAAGTGGGCAGTGAGACAGGGGGACCTCATACCATCAAGAAAGCAGTGCTGGGAGCAGAGTGCAACCTTTGGACCCGGGTCCCTGTGCAGAGAAGCTCCTAGTCTGGGGGAACACTGATGAGAAGGCCGAGAGAGAGAGAAAGCCTTCCCCTGGAGCTGACACCCTTAATTTGGACTTTTAGCCTACTTTGATTATGAGGAAATAAACTTCTCTTCATTGAAACCATCCACTTGTGGTATTTCTGTTCTAGCAGCACTAGATAACTAAGACAGGCATCTAGGTTGTTTCCACCTTTTTGCTATTGTGAATAATGCTGCAATGAACGTGGGTGTGCATATGACTATTTGTGTGATGGCTCTATTTCTGTAGGATATATTCCTAGGAGCGGGATTGCTGGATCATATGGTATTTGTATTTCTAGGTCTTTAAGGAGGCACCATATCATTTTCCATAGTGGTTGTACCATTTTACCTTCCCACCAGCAGTACGTAAGAGTTCCAATCGTCCTGAAACGTCTCCAATATTTGTTATTTTCTGTTTTTTTTATTGGTGCCAGTAATGTTGGGGTGAGATAGTATCTCATTGTAGCTTTGATTTACATTTCTCTAATAGCTCATGATCACTCGTCTGTTAGCTGCCAGAATGTGCTCTTTGGTGAAGTGTCTGTTCATATCCTTTGCCCATTTTTTAATTGGATTGTTTGTCTTTTTGCTGTTGAGGCATTGATCTTCCTTTTTCTTTTGTGTGGCATATATTTATAACAGTATAACCCGTTGCTGTCCAGTCGATTCCGACTCATAGAGACCCTAGAGGACAGAGTAGAACTGCCCCAGAGGGTTTCCAAGGAGCTGCTGGTGGATTCAAACCACCAACCATTTGGTTAACAGTGGAGCTCTTAACCACTGTGCCACCAGGGCCCCTATAACAGTATAGGGAATATATATGTAAGGTTTGGTAAAACTTACTTATAAAATAATCTGGGAATGTTGTTTCGTTTAGTTTATATACTTGCATTTTTTTTTCTATATTCTTTCATCATGGTTCGTATGTTCAAATAGTCTCCCTCATCTTGCTCCAATTTTGTAATGCTTAATTATTAAATCTTTATATTTTCCTATATATATTTTTAAAAAGAAGGTCTTTATAATAGAGCTGTTGCTGTTGTTGTGTGTTGTTCAGTCGATTCCGACTCATAGCGACCTTGTAAGACAGAGTAGAACTGCCCCGCAGGATTTCCGATCCTGTAATCTTTACAAGAGCAGATCGCCAGGTCTTTTCTCTTGCAGAGTGGCTGGTGGGTTGGAACCACTGACCTTTCGGTTAGCAGACGAGAGCTTAACCATTGTGCCACCAGGGCTCCTTTTGAGTAGATCAGGGTATCGTTTTTTCAACAGAAGCTTTGTCTTGTGGACTGTGGTGTTCTTTCTCCTTTTGGGAATAAGGAGGTATAGAAAAATGTGGCAGGACAGGATAGTTGTTAAGAGCAGAGCCCCATCTGGGTTCAAATCCCAGATCCACACTTACTTGCTGTGTGATCATGGGCAAATTATTTCTCCTCTCTATGCCTTGGTTTCCTCATCTGTAAGTGAGAGCAATAATAGTACCTACCCCATGGGGTTGCTGTGAGGATTAAATGGGCTCATGTGTAAGGCACTTAGAACTGTCCCTGGCACAGTAACTACTATATAATAAGCATTAGGTATTATGATGATGATGCTGAAGGATCCCTGGTGGTGCACTCATTAAGCACTCGGCTGCTAACTGAAAGGCTGGCAGTTCAAACTCGCCAGCTGCTCCGCAGGGGAAATATGTGGCCGTTTGCTTCCATAAAGATTAAAAAAAAAAAAAAAAGCCCAACAGTTTCCAACAAGTCGATTCCGACTCATAGAGACCCTATAGGACAGAGTAGAACTGCCCCATAGGGTTTCCAAGGAGCGGCTGGTGGATTTGAACAGTCGACCTTTTGGTTAGCAGCCGAGCTCTTAATCACTGTGCCACCACAGCCTTGGAAACCCTATATGGCAGTTCTATAGGGTTGCTGTGAGTTGGAATCAACTCCACAGCAATGGGTTTGGTTTTTATGATGATGATGATGAAGAAGAAAGTACTCTAAACATATCCACCATTGTATTAGTCTCCTAGGGCTGCCATAATAAAATTTCACAAACTGGGAGGCTTTTAAGAACAGGAATTTATTGTCTCAAAGTTCTGGAGGCTAAATGCCCAAATTAACACGTGGCTGGGCCATGTTGTCTCCGAGGCTCTAGGGGACGATCCCTTCTTGTCTCACCCAGCTTCTGGGAGCCCCAGGTGTAGCTTGGCTTAAAGCTACAGCATAACTCCAACTCTGCCTCCATGGTCACATAGCCATCTTCCCTCTGTCTCTGTGTCTCTTCTCCTCTTTCATAATGATTGGATTAGGACCCACCCTACTCCAGTATGACCTCATGTTGACTGATAACATCTTTAAAGATCCTATTTCCAAACAAGATCACATGTACCAGGGGTTAGGACTTCAATATATCTTTTTGAGGGATACAATTCAATCCATAACAACCATTGATCAATTAAAATTTGTAATGCAGTGGGTACATCTATCTCAAGACATGATTTCAACTTCACATTCTTATAAAACATCAAAATAATTGTATTGTGCCAAAAAATACGGGCATTTTAGTGCGTTAAAATAGTAAGGCAAACAGGAATACTGAAAATTGGCAGAGTAATTATGAATGCCTTGTGTGGCTGGAAGAATTGGCACCCAGGGATAGCCTGAAAAGGGGTGAAAGGTGATGGGGGAGAGGTTGTTGACTCAACAGTGCTGCACAGGGACATGGAAAAGGCACAGGGCAGTCTCTAAGTCACGCAGCTGCTCACAGACCCAATAAGTATACAGCCAATGCCCAGCAGAAATAATAAACCTTGACTGACCATTGCATGAAGTTCAGGCTTATCCCACTTTCTATCTCTTTGGATTTGCTGAGACAAATCTCATTCATTCATTCAGCAAATATTTTCTGTGCTGGGGACTGCGGAGGGGGGCGGACGAGCTGGGTAGGGAGAGTGCCTGTGGGCTGCAATGGGAACCAGTAGAGAACGAGTCATAACAATGGATCTGAGTGGCATAGCCTATGTGACCGTTTCTGTGTTTGTCTCTCCTCTGCCCCGAACCCAGGCGCCGTCAGAGCTGGAGCTGACTCTCGAGGCATCCAAGGAAACTGGCATCTGGCCTCGAGAGGTGCTTTTGGTCCTCTGTGTAAACAAGAATGTCTTCCTGCAGCTGCAGGCCCCAGGAATCCCCCTCCACCTGGCCTACGTGAGTGTGTTACCTCCAACCCCAGGCTGAGGTGCGGGCTGTGAGAGGTCCCTGCTGTCCATCTCTGTGGGTCAGGGTCTTCCACCCCAGGGTCTCTGCTTACCCTTTTCACTCTAACATTACTCACCAGGGCCCTGCAGAAAGAACTGAAAGGGCAGCAGGACCTGGGGTAGAGTCTAGACTGGAAAGTGGGGATCAGGTCATGTGCAATTCTGGCCAACTCCCATCCTCTCTCGAAGCCTCAGTTTGCCCTTCTGTCTAGCGGGAGAAGTGGACTCGATGACATTCCAGAAAATAATCTTATCATTGTCTTGGAAAAAGCTGCAAGACACATATTTGAAAATATTTAAGTACAGAGGAAATGGGCCAGGAAGAAACTTAGCAAGGTGTTAACAATACTTATAGCCGGCAAGTGAGACTAGGAAAAATTTCTATTTTGTTCTTTACACTGATTTTGTAAGACTTGCTCTAATGAACATAGCCTACATCGGAGAAAAATTATTTTTAAAAAACACAGGTTTAAAAAGTGTTGGGCATGTCCACCAGAGAGGAGGTCGGCTGTCTGGGACTGCAGAGGGTCAGGGCTGAAGGAGGCAAGTGGACTGTTCTGCCTCCTCCACATGGAAAGGTCTGGAAGTTGCTCTTCTGTTGGGTCCCCCAAGTGGCCCCCAGATGTGAGCCGCTGTTGTTTACAGCAAGAGAAAGCAGAGGGCCAGAGAGGAGGGGGGGGGCGCAAAGACACGGGAGAGAGACACAGAAAGAAAGATGGAAAATGAAAGGGGGAGAGGAACAGACACACACACGCAGAGAGTGCAACTCAGATAGATCCCTAGAGATAGGAGTGGGAGAGAGGAACGGGACACGCAGACAGACCCAGGCCAGGGAGGGTAGGGACACAAGCCGAGTGAAAGATTAAGAGAAAGGGAAGGGGGAAGAATCCAGACTGACGGCAGAGACAGCACAAAGACAGACTGACGGACATGGCCGAGTCAGCACGGAAGGCCCCCTGGAGGGAGGACACCGGCTAAAGCCAAACAGGAGGGCCAAGGGCCAAGAGGGACTGACCCCATGCGGCTCATCCCTAAGGCGCCCAGAAGCGGAAATCAAGGTCTCGGGAAGGACAGGGCTTTGGCATGGCTCCTCCTCTCTGTCGCTCTCTCTTTCTTTCTCAATCTTCCTTCTTTCCCATCCCCCTTCCCAGGCCCTCGGAGGCTGAAGCTGGGAATCAGAGTCCGGCGGGGTGCTGGATAACGCAGGGCACATGAAGCCCGCCGGCCGGGGCGACAGGTAGCAGCAGCCTCGGGCTCCGGCCTCCGCTGCGCCTTCCTCCTGGAGCAAGCATACCGGGGGACCCGGTGGGGGGCGGCGGGGCCGCGCATGGCGGGCCGAGCAGCTCCCTGAGCCGGCTCCCCGGAGCCGGTCGTGCCGGGCTGGAAGGGCAAAGATGGAGGTGGGCCCTGGCCTTCTGCGGCCACAGTCCGGCTTGGGGCACGGTCGCCACGCACGAGGCCCTTGCTCTGCGCCAGGCCCAGCACCAGGTGACTGACAAACGTCATGCACGTAAATCCCTGTTATAGCCCGATTTTACAGACGATGACCTTGAGACAGAGAGTGATGAAGGGCCCCTCTCAGGGTCTCGCCTAGGCCGCAGCTCTGAATCACTGCCCAGCCTTTCCCACCATGGGTGCTAGGCTTCTCTCCCACCTCCCCCAGGTGCTCGTCATTTTGTACCTTTGTTAAATTCCTGCGGAAAGAGCTGGGTGTTCCCTTCTAGGTGTACCGTTCTACGGTGTCTTGCATACTGTCACTGTCAGGCAGTCCTTAATACCTAGTCTGAGGCCCTTATGCTGTTGCTGCTTCAGCTGAATGTCCCTGACTTTGGAGGTGGAACACAAAGGAAAGAGATCCTGAGTCTGTGGCCTCAACAGCTTCCTCTGAATCCTCCAGCCTCTCCCAATCACCTCCTCCAGGAAGCCCTCCCTGTTTCCTTCCCCAGCCTGCCAGGGTTTCACCTGACAAATGGACAGTAGGGGGCAGTGGGATGCTGATGCTTCCCAAATTCCCCATCCTTGCCCATCCAGGAAGACCTGTCTTGCTCCTTTGTTTCTTATTAAATAATATCTTCTGTCTTCTATTGTTTCAAAGGACTTGATGCGTGTCTTGTCATTTATCCCTGTCATTCATTCATCCATCCATTTCTTCTTCCCTTTCCTTCCTCCCTTCCTTCCCATGTGCTGAGAGCCCCTCAGTGCTAGGCCCAGAGCCCAGCACAAACTCAGACAAATATTTCTCAGTGCCTACTATATGTCAGGAGCCCTGGAGGCTCAGTGGTTAAGAGCTTGGCTGCTAACCAAAAGGTTGGCAGTTCAAATCCACCGGCTGCTCCTTGGAAACCCTATGGGGCAGTTCTACTCTGTCATACAACGGCAACGGGTTTTTTACTATGTGCCAAGCACTGTGCAGTGATGTGCAAAGCAGATGTTGTCCCTCACAGACCCTCAGAGTGTAAGGGGAGACAGCCATTAGCCATGTGATATTTTTAAATGTGGATTGAATGAGTATGACTATGGAGGGTGGGCGGGTGATGTTTGGACAGATGGATGTGTGTCCATCCACACCCCTAGAAGGTGTCGAAGGGACGTGGGTTAGCCTTTGCCCTGGGGAGGGGCACTGTCTGGGGGCTCTGAGCTGACTGCAAGTCTACCAGCCTCAACAACCTCAGGCCTGGCCTCCTCTTCTCACCCATGCGGGCTGCCTTCCCAGATCACCTCCTAACCTCCCACCTGGGACAGGAGAGACTCAGGCCTGGGAACAGCACCTGAGCCCCCATGTGTCTCCCCAGAACCACAGCCTGGTCACCTTCAAAGAGTCCCTGGGAGTCAACACGACACAGCTTCCACTCTTCACAGTCGAGAATCAGCTCTACAACTGGGCAGCTACAAAGGGCTCTATCGCCTCTATTGCCAAGCTGAACGACCCCGGCAGCATCCTCCTCCGTCTGGGCCAAGGTCAGCTTCCCAGCAGCCTCTCTGGGTTCTGGAGGAATCTGAGATCCTCTGGTGATTCCTCAGATGCAGACAATAAGGCTCCAAGAGGGAACACGATTTGCCCCAGGTCACACAGCAAGCCAGTGCTCTATTGAGGCAGTAATTATTCCTTCACCACGTATTAGATTGAACCATGTGAAACTGCTGCTATTTGACAATTTTTTGACCTACAAAAGCAGAACTTTTGTGTTATTTATGGAGCACCTAATATGCACTAGGCACTTGGGGACACTTCGGGGACAGACTCAGGCCCTGCCACCCTGAAGTTGACAGTATGGTGTGGGAGATGACAATTAACATGTACACAGATAAATAAATTCTATAATTTCAGGTCATGGTAAAAGCTGTAAGAAAGATAAAAATGGGGTGATGTGCTCGCGGTTGTGGGGCTGCAGCCCTAATATGTGCCGTGTGCTTTTATCCCTTACATTAACCCTATGTTGACAGATGAGGACACAGGCTCGGGGATTTGCTCAGGGTCAAACTTCCCTGGAGGAGTGTTTGAACCTAAGTCCTTCGATGCCTGCCCCC